GCTCGGTGTGCACGTCAGAAGTTCTTTGTCCTACCGTGCAGCACAGAGAAGGCAGTGTTTGACAGTACGTCTCAATATTTAATTACCTACAGCTGCTACAGGGCAAACAGAATGATCAGTAGAATTTGATGAGCTATTCCTGGGCAGCCAAACACACGTATAAGCAGCACATAGCACAAGATAACACATCTTCTTTACATGCTTCTTGTCACAAAATGTGTATAAAATGCGGGAGACAGTTCCAGAGGTCACCAAGACACCTTCTGTTGGAAATTCCATATATTGATATTCTGAAAGATTTGTGACGACCCCATCAGAATTTTTATGGACTGGGGAGATTAATAATGTGGTGGCGCTTCAGGCGGAGAGTCCCGCGTCAGCAGGGCAAATGCTTTTCCAGTCTAATTAGTAAGAAGCTCAGCAGCGTTCTTATGTCTCTCTGAGTAAAATCTATCAAAAGCAGCAACTTGCCTCTCAGTGGAGCTGGATTAAACCCCAAATAAATAATGCTTCCTGTGAATGTCTTTAAATGTTAAATGGATTTAAGGAGCTAGAGATTCTGGCTTCAGGTCTAAATATATATGGAGTTGTATTTTAGTTTCTTTAATAGAGTGAGGCTTTTGACATAAGTGCTTTGCTTCCAGACAGGAGTGACATTCTTACTCTGTCTATCGCTGGCTGTGTGCTGTGATCTTTACGGCTACATTGCATATACTGGAATGAGTGCAGATGCATTGTCTGCCTCGCTCTGGATTCAAATTCCCAACAGCTTAAAAACAATGACTCAGTGACGCTTTGAGACTGACATGATTGTTGCATTTTCCAACAAATGAAACGGCACTCATTCACGCTCTGCTTTTCGCTATTCTCTCATCTACTTATGCTTGAGTGAAAAGGATTGAAAGAGGTAACTTGTGTCAAAGTGTATAAAAGATAAGCCAAAGTTCTCTGTCCGAGGAGACTGTCTGTTCTTTTAATTGTTTTATTGTCTTTCAAAATGTATATCTGTTCTCCGCCCCTCTCCCTACTTGTTTGAGATCTCGCTCCTCTAGCCGGGCAACAGATCTATAGCGTTCAAGTTATTGGGGAGCCCAGCTCTCCTGAAGCCCTAAACAGACATGCCCATGCAGAACCCAAAAATGATCCAGTCCCCTCAGTTTTGACAGAGTTGATCAGACAAATGAACCTGCTCCTGTTGCTCGGATGTCTCTCTCACCCTCAAAGTATTCTCAAGGGACTCCTCAAAAAGCTACTTTGAATATATATATATATATATATATATATATATATATATATATATATATATATATACACACACACACACACTTTTTTTTTATTACTTAAATGCCTACGAGAAATGTCATCAATTAATTTGGCTAATGCCTGCTCTGTGTCACATCTGTATGTAAGCAGATATGTAAAGCTATTGGATAATGCTGAGCGATGGTCAATTCAAATCGCATGAGGCTCTACAGCAGTGAACCTCAACTGGTGGCCTGCAGGCACGTCCAGTCTGCCAGACCTTTCCACCCAGCCCTCCAACCCTTAGGGCCCTAACGTCCCCCAATTGGGAGACTTTGAAGTTTAGCAGCAAAATTCACATCCCAAATGTCAATAATTGTTTACGTTCTCCACACACAACTGAAGCTACAATCAAAACAGGTTAGAAGGTAAACAAAGCCATTTTAATTAATGAGTTGAGAAACAATAATACTTGAACTTTATTTTAGAAGAGCATCTGGCCCTCACAGTGTGTCCTGGAAAAACTCCTGCTCTTGAACAAGTTTAGTTGAGGACACCTGCTCTACGAGGTAGACTTATCTCCTTCATTATATCACAATACAGTGTAATACTATCACCTTTACAGATTTCTAAAAAAAAAAAATCTTCTGTGGTCGCTGAAAGGGAGAAAACTCCGACTTGCTGCTTTAGTATCCACAAGGTCCAAAAACTGTTGAAATTAGACAGAGAGAGGAGGATGAAGGATAAAGGAGAACTGAGGTGACTGAATTGTGCAGAATGAAGCTGGATGGCCAGCCTGGTATTGTCTTGGTGTCGTCAAATGCCTGATCAGTTCAAAATGTTGTGCCAGCAGCTTAGACAGGAAGGATTATCAGGCTGCACTTTTTAGCCTCTCAAGCAAGCCACAACTGCAACCAACATGGGCCAAGAGACTGGGAGACAAAGGACTTGGAGAACAGATTAATGCAAGCACAAAGACTTAGTTAAATGTCAGACAGCTTGTGTACTGTAAATGCAGCCTTTATGCACTGTTGTTACTGTTGTCTGAATGGCTGCTGTTCATTTTTTAAACAAAATGGGAAGAGGGGGCGAGGAAGTAAAGGACGGATGGGGAGAGGAAGAACGAAAGACGAGGTAGACGAAGTGAGCTCTAGCGGGTAACTGCCACTGGATGGTTGTTGCTAAGCGTTTAATCTCTCATGCTTGGAGAATACAAACGATCTTGTAATCGTCCCTGACCTTGACATGAACAGCGAGGTGGCAAGGGAGCCGTGCTGCTTTGCATTTCCCACAGATGCTTTGCCGAGACACGAAGAACAATTAGCAAACTGGATAAAAAGGAATCGAGTACGTCTCATGGCTGGGATCCCCTCGCCTCACTCTCGATCCCAATGGGAACGCATCACAACAACCCCCGAACTGCATCTTCCTTTGATGCCCATGCGTAATTCTGATAGACGTACAAGATGCTGCTATCGATTATGCTTTTAAATGACTATTTCATCAGTAATTCTTACTGGTGGGTTAAAGCTCAAGTGTATAAAACAAATGCAGAGGACTTTTAGACACGAGTATTATGAACGCCTGTTGGATGATGGACTAATCATTTCAGCCATTTCTATGTGTTTGCACATGGCAATGTGCTTGATGATGTGTATTAGACAATGACTGAACACAAGTGTTTTCTTGCCTGCACAATTACGCTTTAACGAGTGAAGTAGTGTGTGTGTGTGTGTGTGTGTGTGTGTGTGTGTGTGTGTGTGTGTGTGTGTGTGTGTGTGTGTGTGTGTGTGTGTGTGCACTCTCCAGGGTGTCTGTGCATCAACCCTGAAATCACCTTTATGGAATTACGAGACTTTTGTCCTCCAACAACTGCGCATTACCTGCATTAGTGAATATGCTGAGTTTAGATATGATTATGTTCCCGACAAATTAAATCTCTGTTTTCAGCAGTTTGAATAGAAGAACAAATGCTTTTCCATTTTATTTTCAAAGCAAGTATTTTTTTGCCGTATTTTACAGAGGGATAATAGAGCTCACTCCTCCTCAGCATCATAACTGACTCGCCTTCAAAACTCGATGAACACAGCAGCCACAAAGTCCCTCTGGGAATTTTATTTATCTCCCGGTAATGGCCAAACATCCTTCTTCGTGTCTCTTTATGCCAATGAAATGTTACGATAAGCTTTGTTATATTTTGATGCACACGTTTAGTTTTGCGTTTCTAAAACCCACTTTCTCTATTTTGTAATGTTTCTTTTTTTCATGTGGTGCAATTTGTTTCTGAGCCAGCGGTTAACTGTCTTTATGCTAGCTCTGGTTTCCATGGCAAATAATCTCAGCTTGTTAACATCAAAGGTAAACAAAGAGGCAAAAAAGTCTTCTTGATTATTTGCTTTTAAAAAAGGAAAAAAAACTCTAATGGGTCAATTAGACGAAGAGTCTGCTTACACTTCAAAACTCAAGACTTTCATTTGATCTCAGAACAGTTTGAAGAATTTTCCTTCTAATGACTACAGTATTTCACATGTCTATGGCCTGTTGCTGAAAATTCAAATGGCAGACAGTAATGTTTGTGCCTGTCTGTGTGTCACAGAGGGCAACTTACCATGGAGACCACTGGGTGGATTTGAATGAAATTATAATAATAGGATGTACATTCATGACTTTCTGACTCCTAGAGCTTCAGTGCTAATCAAATGTAAAAATTAAGTCATTTTCACAGATGCTGGACTACGGTTTATGTGTGCTAACAAATTCTGATGGTTTTAGATTACCTGGCATGACAGGTGAAAGTTGTGATTTCCTCACCCTCATACAAAACAAGGGCATCATATCACAGCAAAATAACGGCATGCTGGTCAAGTTTGAAAAGTCAGAAAGGATCAATCCAAGGTGGAGTGTCTGGCTGGATCAGCAGCTTTTTTACTGTGCAAATTGAAAGATTCAATTGAGGAAGGGGACAAAGTGTCCTCAGCTGCAAGGGTTACTGAAAAAAAAACAAGTGTTTTCCTTTGTTGAAAGGACTATGATGAAGTAACAATCGAGCTTTGTATGCGTTTAAATTTGTTCTAGGATGTTCTAGCCTTTATTTAGTGAGTTTTGTGAAGATGCATGTGCGGATGTGCAGGAAGGTGTTAATAAGGACACGTAGCTGTTTGGTTTGTAGACTTGTTAGCAAGATCTTATAGCTGCAATCAGCTTTGGATGTGTATGAATCGACTTTGTGCTGTTTGAATAGTGTGTGTAATTGTATTCACTGTGTTAGGTTTTATTAAGTATTACATGATAAATGACCTGCACTTTTATAGTGCCTTTCAGAGTCGGAGGACTCTAAAGCGCTTTACACTACAGTCCATGATTCATCCATGCACACACACATTCACACGCTGGTGGTGATGAGCTACAATGTGGCCACAGCTGCCCTGTGGCGCACCGTCAGGCAAGGCTGCCGTACAAAGACACCATTTGTCCACGACCGCAGACACACCATAGTACTTTTAAATGTCATTATTTGGTAATAGTACTCCGGATTACATCAGGCCTTTTCTGCTGCGTAATTTAATTTACAACGTTTAGTCTTTTCTAAAAATCTTTTGTCAAAAACACACGGATATGTGTTTTGGGTGAAAGTTCTTCTTGTTTACAGTGAAGGGTTCGTTTCAGCTGGTGTGAGACAAAACTACTTTAGTCTTTTTTTGATCTTGTGAAACTTTTACCATCACAAAATTAAAAGCCCTGTTGTGTCTTTCCTTCAGCCCGCTCTGATCCAGACGAAGACCCGTGCGGCAGGACCTATTGCGGCCGGGGCCGACAGTGTGTGCTGATGGCAGGAACGGGACGAGCAGAGTGTGTTTGCCAGGAAAAGTGTCGGCCTTCCTTTGTGCCTGTGTGCGGCTCAGATGGCAGGTTTTATGAGAACCACTGTGAGGTTTATCGCACCGCCTGCCTGGAAAGGAGACGGATCTATGTGGTACACAGCAAGGACTGCTTTTTCAAAGGTCAGACTCACAATCTTACACTGACATGATCAAAATGCAAACTTTAAAGTGGTTAATTAAAGGTAAATAAACAAAGGTCAAACTGTGTAATTCATATAATGTACAGAGAATGTTTTCAGCTCATGCTCATGCTGCGGGGGGTTGTCAAACTGGACAATGTTTTCTCCAGAGTTTGGTTTAGCTTTAAACCTGCCGTGGCTCTCTATTCACAAACAGTTTTTTACTTATTTTTGAAACATGATTGGTCACTGAATTTATCGTGTATGCTAAGAAAGAAAATGGCCTTCTACCACTATTTCCTGGATTAGCTGTTAATAGAAAATACAAGGGAAATGCTCAAATTAGAAAAATCTGCACCGATCTACGTCACACTGAAAATGAACGTTCATGGACTCGCCAACCTTGGCTTACAACAGGGAAGGCTGTTGTTGGTTTAGCATCCAGGAGAGAGCAGAGCGCGTCTCTGCTATTAGAAGCTAGCCATTAGCATTAGTATCTGCAACACACAGCAGAACTGCCACAGGCTCAAGTTATTTTTGGAGATAAAACATCAGCGTTGCAGAGCAAACAGTCAGTGGTTGCCTTGCTGTTAACCAATCGGAGTTGAGATGTCTGAATACAAGGAAATAAGAATCCCAAGTTCTGCCGTCTTCTGCTCCCAACTCTGATGGCTGACTTCTACTTCCTGAAACAGGAGCACCAGTGTTATTTTTATTTTATATTTTTATTGTAACATTTTTAATTGTTAAAGTGCAAAGACTGACAAATATCACAGTAATTTCCTTTTGGTATGCTTTTGAGAAAAATTATGAAGAAAATGTAACATATTTGTCTGGGACAATGTATTTTGTTAAGCTGCCACAAAATGAAAAAGACAGGAAAATAATAACAATCTCATTGCATCTCTCATTGGATACAGATTGATAGTTTTGGTTTGTTCTGAGTAAAAACTGCCCCTAAATGATGCTCTGACCCCATTCTAAGGTATCCATTTGGGCATAGTGGTGCGTATACAGATGTTTAGACAGAAATCACTGTGCAGACAGCTAAAATAACTGCTTTGTGCCACATAGTCTGCAACTGAGCTGTAGTCATAAACATCAATCAGAGTGAAAAATCAAGCTGTTTCTGTCAAACTCCTCTTCAGTTGTGTTTAAAGAATAGATTCATTCGTAGGGCAATGCTCTTGGAGGTTGGCTGGGGTCAGCTGTGACTGGGAAATTACAGTAAAGTACAAAAACACAAGCTGTATTGATCTTCTTCTCTAGCACTGGCATCTAAATCAGTTATGCAGGGATCATAAAAGTTGACGTAATGGTCCATTTATGTGAATTGTTTTAAAAAATGGCTAAGCCAATGAAAATATCACTGTCAGGCTTGCATATTTATGATCTGATCCATGCTTTAAAACTGTCCTTCACCTCTGCTCATCGATACAAGGCCCTTACAGCTTACTAGTGGATCGACAGCTCCTTACGGTATATAATTTCACTGTAACTCATTAGCTAAATTGCATCATCTACGTGAAAAATCAGCATTATTTTTAATGAAACGGCCCCCTTCTTTTATTGTGACTTTGATTTCCAGGTTTCATGTGTAGGTTAGAATTTTGAAGGAAAAAAAGAATCTGGCTTTTTTTTTCATTTCCCAACCATTTTTAGATAATCTATTAAAAAGTAGAGCTTTTAATATGAAAGCGAAGCTATAGCTATTTGAGGAGTTTGGTTCCATGTCAGCAGAACCTAAGAAACCCAGATGCATACATTTAAAACACATTAGGGAGGGGAAGCATTGCTGGCAGACACCGCCATTCATATCTAATCCACATTAGGCCTGTTCAGTCAGCACATTAAGCTTTAAGTTGATGTCTGAATGCAAACCAGCATGAGATGGAAAACGCTGGGAATCAGTCAGATCCTATGTTAATCATGTATGTCTTTGTGTGCAAGTGCCATTGCCAATATAGCAAATAATTCATGCACAACATACAAAGGTATGGGTGAAAAACATGGCTCACTGTGACATGTTTGAGGGGGCAGTGCACATTATGTTTATGTATTTAGCAGATGCTTTTGTGCAAAGCGACTTACAGGAAACAATTTCTTGTATAAACAGGAGTTCATCTTGTTAAGACTATTACGTATGTGAGGTTTTGCCTTTCTTCGTGACCTTTTGGGTTTTTGGGCACATTTATTGCCAGCATATGTTTCTGAGACCAAAACCCTGAGAGCCAAAAACAGATGTCACACACCCCATAGCACCATGCTAAATCTCTTTATTCCTGCTTTTTATGTTGAGGATGGTGGATTTACTTTCAAATGTGATAAACCCAAACGCTCGGGTGTAAAAGCCTGTTTCCTTCTGCTCAGGGCCACGACCACAGTCACACTGTCACATCTTGCAAGTCCTCATGCAGAAGCTTTCGTTTCATCATATCTGGATTATTGTGATTCCCTCAGCGCAGCCAATGCATGACACTTTGGTAGAAGGGAAAAAGCAACAAGTCTTTGCTATGTTACTGTATGCTCTCTAGTTCCCATCTGAATAGTTAATTCTGTTTGTGGCCAAATAAAAAACATGGACATGAGCATGAAGCTATAAAAGCAACACATTTGTTCTTATATTTTATTGTTTACCCGCAGGTGTTTGTGATAATGTTTTATTTTAAATGTAATTTTTTGTCATGCATCATGGGTTTTATGAGCTTAAAATTCCCTTTCTCCATGGAAATAAGTCTATCTTTAGTTTCATGCTTTTCATAAAAAATTATGCAGTCAAATTCTTCAAATGACTGTAGACGCTTCTGAAGAGTTTACACCTGTATCTGTGCACAGTCAAACAATCTCTTTGATGTTCTCTGTTGACTTGGTTGGACAAACAATTAGCAACAGGAGAGAAGATGAGTAGAAGAGATTATAAACCTCTGGAAATGGCTCTTTGTTTGGTTTTATTTGTGTTAGCTGCCTCTTAAACTGGTGCTGATATGTAACCCTAACCCTTTTTATAGGGGATAAAATGTGCCAATAGCAATAAAGCACTAAAATAACAATAGGAGGATAAAATATCACATAGAAAATTGATTGAATAGCATAATGGAACCAAAAGAGGATTATAAAGTTTCTGTAATTCCACACTTTCAGTGAGTCAAAATTTTTTTTATTTTTTTTTTTATTTTTTGGTTTTCGCCTGTGTGTGCGTGTCCCTTTGAATGACAACTTTAAAATAGCTTGAGCATAACACATTTAGGTAATTTATCATCACACAAAAAGCAAAATGAGGATCAGTAAGAATACATTTAACCAGTTTCTAAGCATTATCACTAAAAATGAAGGGTCAAACACAATTCGTTGCATCTGTCAAGTCATAAAGAGGTGTTAAAGAGGTCCTCCACTCAGATTTTTAATGCATTTGTCGTGGTCTGTAGTAGAGATGAATGCCTTGTGAGTCGTACTCTGGGGGAAAAAAAGCTCCGGTGCACCTGTTTCAACACAGATAATTCAGCCAGATGAGAAAGCAGCTTCAGGTGGTAGGATTTGGAGTCTAATTTCCTGATATTTGGACATCACGCTTCTGATTGGCTAGCAGCAACATGACTCTACCACTGACTCTGTTGGCTTTAACTTTAGATGGTTTATCTTCACAAATAACACAAGCATGGAGGAGTTCTGCTGTGTGGTGGAGTTGCTAATGCTAACAGTTAGCTTCTAATAACCAAGAGGTTCTCTGCTGTTTCCTGGACACTAAACCAAAAACAGCCTTCCTCGTCGTGAATCGAGATGGGTGAGTCAGGCTTTTCTGAACCAAGCGTTTCACTGTCTATTTTGTATCAAAAGCTAATGCAGCAGACACGTGTAGGAGACTATTTTCATGTTCAGCCTGCATGTTAAACTCAGGTCTAGTCCACACGTAGCCAGGTTTTTTAAAAACGAATATCTGCCCCTCCAAAATCTTGCATCCACAACACCTCGTTTAAAAAAAAAACTCTGTCCACACGTACCCGGATAAATACGTTGTTAAGGACATGCCAGACCTGTAGGCAGCAGTACTTGTGCCGGGCAATAGCTGTTCTTAACCTCGTCCTTTGTCTGTGGTCTTCCGCAAGGGGCAGTAATTCTGCTTGCAAAATCAAACAAGCAAAAAGCGCTTGGACAATTGATAAAGTGAGCGCAGCTCTGAGGGCATCCATGCTGTCGGCTAGTGTAAACACAGGTCGCACACGTGATGTCAGCATTTTTTGTCACGGAAAGTGACGCTGCGGACCTTAAAACTCCGGTTTTGTCTGTCCACACGCAGACACCCAAAACGGAGAAAACGCAGATCTTCACTTTGGCCGAAGTTTTTAAAAAGATCCGTTTTCGTGTGAAAAAACTCTGTTTTTGTGTGGATGACAGGCCAAAACGTAGAAAAATATCTACGTTTTGGCAGATCCCCGGCTACGTGTGGACAGGGCCTCAGAGTGACGGATTGTTTTCTAAATAATAACAAAAAAAATTTCTCAGGGAAGTTCGTCAGGCGGTAATTTCTAAATTTTTATTTATTACAGAAGCCTCTGATGGCGTCAGCTTCACCCTGTGACTAGTGTGTTTTTAGATGACACTAGAAGGTCTCTAAAGCGCTAACGGGAAGAAAAAAATGCTTTGAGACCTGCAATAATGAAATAAAACTACACTTTAAAGGGCTTTAGCTTGTAAAACCTTTCACTGGGAACATGATGAAGTAAAATTTCATAAATCTCATTACTTTATGCAATCAATGCTCTAACTTGTAAAATTAGCATCACAATCACAGATGTTTTCTCTCTCCTTGTGTGGGGAGTTAGGGGCAGCGAGTTGCCCCACTTCTAATTCTGTCTTTGATTACAACCCCTTCCCTCCTAAGAGCTGGAGAAAGAACTAACACAGTTGATTAATAGCTTTCATCATCTTGATGAATAGGAAGCTTGCAGCAAAGGCGGGCCAAAGAGACTTCTGCTTCCATTGGGTTGTTTAGGGCACTCAGCA